CGTATTGAGGTGTTTCAGGTTTTCATTATTGATCAGAATCCATGATATGAGACGGTGAATATCAGTTTTCTTTTGTTGGGGATTGCATATTTGCTGTTGTAGTTTAGGTAAGATTTTGTCATCTTTTATCAATATCACGTTGTTCATATCCTCTGTGTATTAAATTGTTCAGTTGTCTGTCATGGCATCGTTGTCGAATATCGAGAGTCCTGATGAGCCTACCGTGTGTGGCTGAGAAAAAAAAAGTTAAGCCCTACCACCAGACGAACCGTGACCAAGACTACAAAGAATAGCGTTCTCAAGGCAAGGCTAATGTAATCGACTTGGCTGAAAAAGCTTGACAATGGAACTCTTTTTCTCTTCTTTCCTTTTTTTTCTTTCTCTTTTCTTACGGTTCGAGATGAGATCAGATGGGAGTCCTGGAAGAGGAGAGAGAAAAGTTCGTGTCGAGAGATAAGGTGATATTCCCAAGCAGCTGTCCTTGTGAGCCAACCCTTTGACAAGATTCTCGTTGAAGAGGCCAAGAAGGTCTGTCGTGAAAGCAAGGACAAGAAAATAAGTTGCTTCCGATATTAAAACATTCATCCTTCAGTAACCCACGTAATAGCATAGCCACTTCTGTAACTATGCTCTTAGATACTATATTTATAAATTGGAAGATAGACAATTAGACCTTTAGATGTTGAACAATCCCAGCAAAAGTTGAACAATTCAAGCAAAAGTTGTTGAGGCTTATTGTTAAATCTACACGTTTGCTAGACCGATATGATATAAGTTAGTGGCTGTAGATCCAATAAATGGAGGTCAAGAGCTTTTATTATTATTTTGATGACAGTTAATGGGAACGTTCAGGCTACGTATTATTTATTGCCATTATGACTGTATATTAATAATAATGATAATAATATTTATTATTGTTTTTATATTTATCATCAATATTATTTTCATTATTAATATTGTTATCATTGTTATTATTATTGTTATTATAGTTTTGTTGTTGTTTATGATATCATGATCTATTAGTAGTATCATTATCAATTTATTTCGAACATTATCATTTGTTATCATTATTATGTGATTATTACTATTACAATCATTATAATTATCATAATTATCATCGCCACAATCATCGTCACTATTACAGATAACATCTTTTATCATCATCATTATCATCATTTCATTATCATCATTTTTTATCTTTAATCATTTAGTAATAGTTGCTGAACCATCTGCCTCGGTCAGTTCAACACAAATCACCTCTTCTTCTGTTACACATTTTCCACCTAACTGAACCATTTATACGAACCCGCTTATCGCCTCTTTTATCTAGGTGGAAGAATTTCTTGGCCAATTGAACTTCCATAATATGCTTATTTCTCGGCGAGGTTCCCCTGAGCAGCGCAGAACCCCGCGCCTTTGTTACGTTTGTCATTTGATACAGACTCCTGTGATTCACTGTTCTAGAGGAGTTTTTTTTTTTTATTTTTTATAGATTTGAAGTTTGAACGGTTTTGTGCCCTTGTGTGTGTGTGTGTCTATGTGTGTGTGTGCCTGTGTGTGTGTGTGTGTGTGATCGTGTGTGTGTATGTTATACAGCTCGTATATATGTATATTGTGCGCGCGCGCTGCGCGTGTGTGTGAGTGTGTNACGACGGTGATAGAAGCGGTCAGCGCTACCGACGGTGAAGATGTCGTACTTGGCGAAGCGCGTTTGCCCCTCGAAGTCGCCCAGGTCGAACCGCGCTTCGTACACTGACTGGTTGCTGAGGGCGTGGATGTGCTCGAGCCCAAGCCAGAACTCTTGGGTCAGGTCCCCGAAGCCGCTGACGTATTCCTTCCAGGTCCGGTAGAAGTTCTCCTGCGTCGGGTACTGGTCCCTGCGCTGGATGACGGTCCAGCCCCCGCCCTCGGTGGCCATGTCGCAGAAGACCTTCACTCGGCGCTCGGGACAGCAGTCGTAGGGGCGGATGGTGTACACCCCGCTCACGTTGTACCCGACGGCCAGCGCCTCCAGGCAGTTCCTGCGGCGACGTGGCATTTGCTACAGTACTCTAGATAGGTATAGAATACGCTCGTGTGAAAACCAAACCATTGATAACAAATAGACTGTTTTAATCATTAAAGAGAGAAAACAGGAAAGCGAGAGAGAAAACGAAAAAGAAAATGATAAAAAAGAGAAAGAAAAAAGAAAAGAGAAGAGAGAGAGAGAGAGAGAGAGAGAGAGAGAGAGAGAGAGAGAGAGAGAGAGAGAGAGAGAGAGAGAGAGAGAGAGAGAGAGAGAGAGATATCAGAACTTACTTGGGTTCTATCATCGGGAAATACTCCACGGGGTAGATGCTTTCAGAGGCCATTCGTAAATCACCTTCTGTTGTAGCCTGGGAGACGTTGCCAGTTGTGTCCTGTGAAATATTACCTGCTACCACCTGCGAAATGCCTAGTGCGACATTTGAAGTAACATCTAGTGATGTATGGGAAGTCCCTGATGTAGCAACTGAAGAGC